TAATCGTAGTCGTAGCAGTAGTGGTAATAAGGAGAATAGTAGAGGTAGCAGTAGTGGTAGCAACAGAAGCTGCAACAGCATAAGAAGAAGTCAAAGCAATAGTCGCGATAGTATACTTAATTTGCGTAGTAACCGTAGCGGTCGAAAGCATACTAAACAATGTAGTAGTCGTAGTAGTAGTAGTGGTACCCGTAGTATTAGGCGTAGTGCTAGTATTAGCAGCCGTCGTAGTAAGAGTCGTCTTAGTACTAGCAGTAGTAGTACGAACCATAGCAGTCGTGGTCGTAATAATAGAAGTGGTAATTGTAGTAGTGGTCGTAGTAATACTACTAATAGTAATAGTACTTGTAGTAGTAATTGTAGCAGTCGCAGTAGTAATGGTAGTAATAGTAGTAGTAGTAGTAGTAGTAGTAGTAGTAGTAGTAGTAGGATAACTAATAATAACAATACTGGTAGTAGGTAGTCGACGTAGAGGCCGCCGTCGTAGTAGTAGTGGTAGTAGTAGTCCTGGTGGTAGTAGTAGTAGTAGTAGTAGTAGTAGTCGCAGTAGTAGTAGTAGTAGTAGTAGTAGTAGTAGTACCAGTAGTAGTAGTAGTAGTAGTAGTAGTAGTAGTAGTAGTAGTAGTAGTAGTAGTAGTAGTAGTAGTCGTAGTGAGAGTAGTAATAGTAGTGGTAAGAGTAATAATTGTCGCCGTAATAGTAATCGTAGCGATGGTACTGGTGGTAGTAGTAGTGGTAGTAGCACTACTACTACTACTATTACTACTACTACTACTACTACTACTACTACTACTACTACTAGTACTGCTAATTCACCAACTACTACTACTACTACTACTACTACTACTATTACTACTACTACTACTACTACTACTACTACTACTACTACTACTACTACTACTACTACTACTACTAGCTGTAGTAGTGGTAGTCGCAATCGTCGAGGTAGTAGACGCAGCAGCAATAGTTGTCGCGCTAGTAATCGTAATTGCGTACATAGTGACCCAGTCTCGCGCCCCCCATTCATCACCTGGTCACGCGCCAAGGATGAGACTGTTGGCAGCCCTCTGAGTGGGCCATGAGAGCTCCATTTGAGAGGGGGGGTGTCTCGGTCGTCACCTGGCCACGCGGGGAAACATGGAGGCTTACTTGTGTAATGCTAAGGGAATTTCAGCGACACCAATATGATGCCCAATGGAAGCCTGGAAGATTCCGTTGGGAGCAACATGGGTTCCAAAACATTACTGCGCGTTCCTCTCTCCTGCCGCTGCGTTGGGCACTGCGACAAGCAGATGCAACTGATTCGCCACCAGAGATTGTCGGTCGAAGACTGCATTCCCCAAATCAGAACAAAGAACGCCCAGGGCACATTCGAACACAGCAGTGTGCACTATGAAATTCCACGTTGGACATGAAACAGATAAGCAGGCGTCACTTAAAACGCAATTGCTGTTGCATTTGTTTCCAGAAAGAGACAAACATAATGAGTAGGAATCAATCGAAAGAAATGGTAACCAATAAGGCTCCATAAGAATTCACAGCAAACACTAGGAAACAATCGAAAACAATCGGATCCAATGGTAACCACTCGGAACGAATCATACCCACCAGGAAACAATGAGAAGCAATCTGCTACAATCGAAATCAATTGGAACCAACTGGAATCAAATGCCATACAACTTAGAACCAATCAGAAACATTCGCAATCAGAGCGCAACATCAGAAATCGTCAGAATCTATCGGAATCGGTAAGAACCAATTGGCGCCAATAAGAAACAATAAGAATCAATAGGGATCACTAGACATCAGTCGCCATCGAAATCAATACGAACCAATAGGAAGCACGAGGGATCTTTAGGAATCAACAGGAATCAATCATAATCAATAGGGAACAATAGGAACCACGAATAATCAGTGAGCATTACTGAGATTCAACTAGAACGGTTCGGAATCATGGAAATTCAATAAACACCAATTGGAATCAATCGGAACCGATAGGAATAATTAGGAATCAGCCGGAATCCACAATAACCAATCGAAACCAATGAGAATCAACCGGGAAACATTGGAATCAGTCGGAACCAATGGGAATCAATCATAATCGATAAAGCCAGTCCGAATCTCTCATAACAAACAGGACGAGTAAATAGGAACACTTAGAAATTAAATGAAATTCGTAGGAATCACTTTCAATCAACCGTAGGGCCGTAGGGAATGACTAGGACTCACTAGGAATCAATAGGAATAAATGGGAATCCACAAGCATCCGTCGAAGTCATTGTTATGGGGTTGGGTATGCCAAACGATGGAGGGCCACGTGAACTGAAAGTGTGGTCGGAGCGCTGCGTATGCCGTGCACGCTTGTGACGAGCGCAGGTCGAACATAGCATCGGAGTGATAAACAAATCGAGAGAACCCTGGTAGAGGCCAAACACGTCTGGAGGACGTGCCAGGCGCCGCGGCCGCTCCAGAGAGCGCTCTCAAACGCGCCGAGAGCGCTCTCTGGAACGCTCTGGAGCGCTTGTGTAGACTTCCTGGGCATGCCTGGGAGATGTGCTGAACAACGAGGGTCGATGCGAACACTCGCCATCGCTCGGACATCCGTTCCTCGTGCATGCTTCGATGTCGTGCGCTTTTCTCTCCGCCAGGAGGACTCAACATGCTCTTCGATGGTCCTCGCCGAGAAAAACGCCCCCGTCCGAGCGATGCGAGAATACGGAGGTGATGAGTGCAGTGCACGCGCGGCACCATCGCCAGCGGCGAGAGACGGCAAGCAGCGAGGAGGCATCAGCGACCAGATGGGCGTTGCAGTCGCCTTCCCAACGAGGCGTGCAGCCCAGAGGCGTGCCATGACAGACCACTCGGCGGCGCGCACAAGTGGGTGGAGGGAGGGGGGAGCGCTTCTTAGAAGGAGGTTGCTTCTTAGAAGGCGCCGGCCTTACATCTATAGATAAGCCCCGTGCCTTCCAAGAAGCAGGGGTGCTTCTCAGAAGCCCTCCCCGCTCCCCCCTCTGCGCGTGGCTGAAACACTCTGTTGCACACGTGCGCGAAATCATCCGCCAATCGGTGTGAAGAGGGGCGCGTATCCGGCACCGTGCCATGCGGCTCTGAATGGAGAAGTCATCGGGTCCCATCAGGTTCTCCGTATGGACTGTGTGCAAACGCTCTTCAAGGGCCTGGAGCCCCAACTGCTGGATCTCCTGGGGATGGCCGCGTGATTTCCACTAAAGGCATTACATTCCTAGGCAAGCTGTCTTTTGCATCTTCGGCCCTGGAAGCGGGAACCCGAACTGGCCCAGGAGCTGCTTGGTGGCGGGATGGCCCGAAGGCCACTGGAGATTTGATCACTCCCCTGACTGGTGACTAGTAGCACCAGTACGAGTTTGACGTGATAGCTGATCCAGGAATCATGCCCTCCTGGCTTCCCACCCGCTTGCCAACAAATGCATAAATTCCCTTCCTCGTCTGCCGATCCGTCGTGAACATGAAATCTAGCGGGCGAACTTTTCCGAGCAACTCCAAGCTCCTACCATGGTTTATCATATGGTATGCTAAGTTCGCCTTCAGCGACGGCATGGCCGAGGAGCGTCTACAAAGAAAGCAAGCTGCTACACTAAGTGTAGTGCCACTACGACTGCGACTGGAAAAGAATATGAAGAAACGATAACAATGATGGCATCACCGTCCTGTCTTTCCTGGCTGAGAACGTCGAACTTTGTATTGCCTCAACAAGATTCGTATACCACACGGCCGCGCCGTCGAAAAAAAAAAGCCCGGCGAAGGACCCAACCATATGCAGTTGTGAATGCCGCAGTTGTGGGTATCGCCTTCGGTGTAGCTTCCTATGGGCCACGAAACGCTGCGCTGGGTGGGGGAGCCGCATGCGAACTTTGCCACTGGGGCCTTCGGTGGAGCTCCCTACGGGGCCACGCAACGCTGTGCTGATATGGACACCGCCACTGGGGCCTTAGGTGGAGCTCCCTTTGGGGCCACGAAACGCAGTGGTGGGTGGGGGAGCCGCATGTGGACATCGCCACTGGGGGGCCTTCGGTGGAGCTCCCTACGGGGCCACGAAGCGCTGCGCCGGGAGGGGGAGACGCATGTGGACACCGCTGCTGGGGCCTTAGGTGGAGCTTCCTATGGGGCCACGAGACGCTGCGCCGGGTGGGGGAGCCGCATGTGGACACAGCCACTGGGGCATTAGGTGGAGAGCTCCCTATGGGGCCACGAAGCGCAGTGCTGGGCGAGGGAGACAGAGGCAAGGATGGGAGGAGGGAGGAGGGAGAGGAGGAGGAAGGAAGGAGGAACGCGGGGCGCTGTCTCTTCAAAACAAGGACCCAGCACCACAGAATGGCTGGGAGCGTGGTTGATGATGCGAGTTTTGGGATGGCATCTTCGGCTCCCCAATGCCCACGTTCCCCTATCCCCTCTTCCCAGCTTCCCCTCGACGAGGTGCACCTGAAGGATCTGAGCGCTGAATATCCGAGTGGTGTCCTGGATCTTTTGGCCGTTTTGGTCGGACATGTTCGCGCGTGCGTGCTGGGCCGCACGGGGACATGCCCGGCTGCTGTTCTTGGGTATATCCGGCCGAGCGAGGGATGTGGATATCCAGTGTCTTCGGCAAGATGGCGGTAATGAAATGAACAACCAACTAACATGACACATCCTGGTTTTCCGCTCGGGTTATCCGCGAACATCCCCCCGTACATTCAGCGGCGCAAGGTCGGACAGTATATCTTGCTGAGGCTTGACTGTTTGCAGGAGCCCTTTAACGTAGATCTGTTGACTTGTTGTCGCTCTCTGCTCGGCCGTGGTGCTCAACCCGAGGAGTTGCTGCCCTGCATGTCGCGATGATGGTTGGTTCAGCCAGCAACGCTCAGAATGGGCACAGGACCACCACACAATTTTCTGGAACTCCTGCGTGCCAAAGAGAACCTTGCGGGCCCCCCCGATCCCCGCTGCAAGAAGTAGAAACCGTCATAACATTATGAGGTATTCTGTCATCTGGGCATCAGGACAAAAGCCGTATTGACATCATCACTGGAAGTCCCACACTCTACGGCAGATCCAACATTCGGCGTCCGGTGTCCCCCCGGAGGCTCCGCCTGCCACGAGGGCGCCACTAGCCTGTCCCCGCTGACCGCCTCAGGCGGCCCAGAAGCTTCCCAGGAGCACCGGCAGACGCCGCGCTGCGTCCAGCCCCAGCAGCCTCCCTCCGTGTCCTGGTCACGCGTCCCTCTGTCTTCGTATTTCTCTTCCCTCCACCTCGCCCTGCTTGTCCTCGTCCCCGCGTCGCCATGTGCCACCCCATCGGCAGCGGCAAGGGGGAACCACGCGCATCCCATCTGTAGGCGCGCGCCCCCGTTGCCTAACTTGCCCGCGCCGCGCCCGATCCGCAGCCCTGGCGCAGAGGCGGGCAGGCGCCAGGGGTGCGAGCGCGTCGGCGAGCTCCTTGCAAGGGTAGGGCGCTGGGTCTCCTCCTCACCCTGCTCCTCCCCCCCCTTCTAGAGGGCAGAGCATCCACCCCGATAATAACCGCCTCGAACACGCGAGGCCTTTCGTAAACGCGCCCGCAGAAGGAATCGAACAGGACATGGCTGTTCGGTAAACGCCCGGAGCCGTTTAGGAAACGCCAATTGTCTGGTCCGGGTGTTTTTTCCTCCCTTGACTTGTCCCCCTCCCACGCCTCGCAGTCCGCAGGCTTCCCCTCCCGCCCCCTGCTGTCCTTCCCCTCCCTCGCCCCCACCCCGACCGCACGCTTCCCCGGGGCCCGCCAAGCCCAGGCGAGCTGTCCGTGGAACTCTGCGAAGGCCCCGCCAGGTTTGAAGGGGCCCAGGGACACACAGATGAATATACACAAATCCCCGAATTCACAATATTTCCTCATATTTTGTGGATTTTCGTCTGCCCACCCACTTCCCAAATTTTCCCATATTTTCGGGGGAATCGACGATGAAGTGTGTCCGTGATTTTGTCCCCTCCTGAAGGTACCGGGGGCGATCTCCAGAGTTCCAACAAACGCTCGAAAACCTCGACCCTCAAACCACCTTGAAACTCCTCCTCCTCCTCCTCCTCCTCCTCCTCCTCCTCAAACTCCTCCTCTTCCACCTCCTCCCCTTCCTCATCCTCCTCCTTCCTCAAACGCTCGAAACTCCTACTCCTCTTCCTCCTCCTCCCGCGACAGCGACGACGACGACGAATATGCAAGGCGAGAATTCGGACGCCCCCCCCCACGAACCAGGCTGCCGCAAAGCCGGGTCCCGATCGCGATCCAGCACGGCCCGATCCGTCCCAGAGCGCACAGAGCGCTCCGCCGTGATCGGAAGAAGCGAACGACCGCCAGGAGCCCGACCGATCGACGGCTCAGTAAGGTGATCACGCCCCGATCGACGGACGCGGGTCGTCGGCTGTGGTGTGCTGCAGGCCACATCACAAATCTGCCACGCGAATCTCAGGAGCGCGCAGACAAATGCTGAGAGGAGCTGTGAGAAATGCGCGGAGGCAACGCGAGGACTGGAACAGGTCACAGCGAGAGTCTCACCATCGCTCGGACGTCCATTCCCCGTGCATTGGTCGATGTCGTGCGTGTTTTTGTTTCCGCTAGATGATCCAGGTGATCTGGCACCGGCCTCGCCGAAGAAAAAATACGTAGCACCCCGCAGATGCGGATAAGAGGGAGGGGGCGGCAGTCTGCGAGACTCTGGAGAAGCCCGCCGCAGGCGCTAACGTTCTACAAATTCTACAACAAGCCCGCCGCAGGCGCCGATTTTCTCTTCAAACCAAATGTTGATCGGTCGCGGGTGGGTCGCGGGTGGGTCGCGGGGTGGGTCGCGGGTGGGTCGAGAGGGTGTGTCGCGGGGTGGGTTGCGGGGGGGACGACGACAACACACAACAAACAACAAAAACAACAACAACAATAATAATACTAATAATAGTAATAATAGTTTTAAGACTGTTCGCCATTATATGCTCGAGTGTCCAATAACGCGTATTTCCCAAACCCTCGATACCCGCCCTCTTCGTCTTCGGTCGAACCCCTTTTGGGGGGTACACCTTTCTTCCCTGCAGGCCGGGGCCCGGCAAGCGGCGGGGCGGCCGCGGACCGTCGGCCTGGCCAGCGGCAGCGCTGATCGGCGGGGCGGCCGCGGACCGTCGACCCGACCCCAAGAGGGACGGACAGGGGACCGACACGACGACGACGACGACGACGACGACGACGACGTCGAAGACGACGGCGACGACGACGACGGCGACGACGAGCGAAAGCGAGAGAGAACGACAGCAGGGCCACGAAGGGCACGAAGTAGGCCACGAAGGGCGACAGCGGGGACACGAAGGGAATGCGTATGGGGCCACGAAGAGCGCGAACGAGCGGGGGCCACGAAGTGCAGATAATGCGGGGCCACAGAAGGCAACTATGGGGCCACTGAGGGTAGCAACTGGGCCACGTAGGACAGTGAGGGGGACACAAATGGCGACAGCGGGGCCACGAAGGGCATGCACATGGGGCCACAACGGGCGCGACTCCTGGGTGCCTGGGTGTCGGGAGCGCGGCGCTTGGGCAAATTGCAAGAAATTCCAACGCAAGGCCATTCTCTAGTAAGTTGCAAGCAAGTCTCCAGCGAGAGCGCGACTCCAGAGCGCCGGGAGAGCGATTCCTTAATAAATTGTAAGGAAGTCCCAAGCGAGAGCGCGATTCCTGAATGAAATGCGAGGAAGTCTCGGGCGGGAGCGGGGGTCTTGGTTAAATTGTAAGGAAATCTCAAGCGGGAGCCGTTGTTGTTGTAACCCGGGGGCCAGGGACCCAGTTTGAGCAGGAAGACTTTCCCTGTCAAAAGACAGGGTGCGAGCGTCGAAGGGCACACTTTGAGAAAAAACAATCCGCACCGGTGGGGGGGATCAACAATAATTATTCTTCAGAAAGTTCAACAACAACAACAACAGCAGCAACAACAACAACATCAACAACAACAACAACGACAACAACAACAACAACAACAATTACTAGCACGTGGGGACACTCCGTTCTCACCAGTGCCAGGGTTTTCATAGGAGGCGGGCAATACCCCCACTTTGTGGGGGGGCCGGTTCAAGCTCTACCAAATTTCCAAACGACTCTTCGCCACCACCCACACCCAGCTTCCCGCCCTATGACGTTCGGACACTTCACTTCGTGGCATGCGGACGACCGTGGCTACTATTCAGGGCCCCGCGGCCGACGACGACGGCGTGCGCGCGCGAAGAAAAAACGAATGTGTCCCGCATGGTATTATTTGACAGGGATGATGGCCCTGGCAGGTGCGCAACCGTTGTCGCAGAAGTTCGAAAAAGTTGCTCGCAAAAGCCCGTTTGACAGAAATGTTTAAAAAGTGTTGGGTTTCCTACGAATCCGCAAGAGCGCGCGGGATGAGATTTTGACATTTTTTTGTTGAAAAACCATTGGTTTTTTGATGTTTTTATGTTAAAATCGCTACGAAACTAAGGTTTTGGAAGGATTTCGTCTTGCGCGCGCGAATGTCCACTTTACCTTATTTTTTGCAAGGGATTCTTGAAATTTGATTATATTAGAACAAGAAATGTCATTTTTTAGTGTTTTTTGCAAGGGAAAACGGATCGTAACAAAACAACCGGATCTGGATCACATCGTTTTTACCTGAGACTTCCTCACGAAAATGATGAAAATGTGGCTGCGGCCTAGGCGCGGCGGGGGGGCGCGCACCAGGGGTCCCAACAATAATTATTCTTTAGAATTAATAATGTTCAACAACAACAACAACAACAACAATTACTAGCACGTGGGGACACTCCGTTCTCACCAGTGCCAGGGTTTTCATAGGAGGCGGGCAATACCCCCACTTTGTGGGGGGGCCGGTTCAAGCTCTACCAAATTTCCAAACGACTCTTCGCCACCACCCACACCCAGCTTCCCGCCCTATGACGTTCGGACACTTCACTTCGTGGCATGCGGACGACCGTGGCTACTATTCAGGGCCCCGCGGCCGACGACGACGGCGTGCGCGCGCGAAGAAAAAACGAATGTGTCCCGCATGGTATTATTTGACAGGGATGATGGCCCTGGCAGGTGCGCAACCGTTGTTGCAGAAGTTCGAAAAAGTTGCTCGCAAAAGCCCGTTTGACAGAAATGTTTAAAAAGTGTTGGGTTTCCTACGAATCCGCAAGAGCGCGCGGGATGAGATTTTGACATTTTTTGAAAAAACCATTGGTTTTTTGATGTTTTTATGTTAAAATCGCTACGAAAACTAAGGTTTTGGAAGGATTTCGTCTTGCGCGCGCGAATGTCCACTTTACCTTATTTGTTGCAAGGGATTCTTGAAGTTTGGATATGTTAGAACAAGAAATGTCCACTTTAGCTTATTTCTGCAAGGGAAAACCGATCGTAACAACACAACCGGATCTGGATGACATCGTTTTGCCTGAGACTTCCTCACGAAAATGATGAAAATGAGGCTGCGGCCTAGGCGCGGCGGGGGGGCCATGCACCAGGGGTCCCAACAATAATTATTCTTTAGAAGTAATGATGTTCAACAGCAGCAACAACAACAACCACCACCACCACCACCACAACAACAACAACAACACCAACAACAACAGCAACAACAACAGCAACAACACCAACAACACCAACAACACCACCAACAACAAACACAACAATAACAACAACAACAATAACAACAACAACGACAACAACATCAACATCAACAACAACAGCAACAACAACACCAACAGCAACAACAACAACGCAACAAGCAGAATCCTCACCACGGATTCTCACTTCAGCCAAGAATCCAGGGACAATGAATAACCGTTCGGTCCCCTCACTCTGACACACGTCCCAGCGATGCCGAGGAGTAGGAGCATGGAGGGGGGGAGGGGGCGGGGAGAGGGGATGGCGCACAGCAGGGGCTGCCCTTTAAGAGGTGCGAAGTGGACTTCATTTGCGCCTCAGGTGGTGGTGAGGAGGAGGAGGAGGAGGAGGAGGAGGAGGAGGAGCGTGGACTGGCAGGAGGAGGAGGAGAGGATGAAGAACGGGCCGGCAAGAAGGGGGACGGAAAACGAGGTGGAGGGAGGGAGGCAGGCAGGCAGGCAGACAGGAAAGGCGGGAGAAGGGGGGCGAGGAGGCGAGACCCCTCCCTGAGGCTGGCAGGCCACACGGACACTCCCAGCCGACCCGTTCCGGGGTGCGTTCTGGTCAGAGAGCCGAGGCGGATCCAGGCGCGGCGACGAGGGCGCTCCAGAGGGCCCACGAAGAGACGGCTGAAAACGTCCGGGAGCCCGAGGCCTCGAAGTTCGAACCTCGAGGGGGTCGAGCAGTCAGACTCCCGAAACGGGTGCGGTCGCTGCTGGGCAGGCGGCCTGCCGCCTGAAATGGACTACGTCTGCGGCGACACCGACGGCGAGTCCTGTTCAAAACGGACCAGAAAGGTTGTCGGTCTTTGCCCCCGCTCTTTCCGAAGTGCGGATGGTCAGGTTTCGGTCTGCGCACAGACAGCCCCCCGAGGCAGTTTCAGCTGGCCTGGGATGCGGAGTGGCCCAGGGGCTCCGCTGGAGGCGGCGCCAGGGTGTCGGAACCGCCCTGGACTACTCGGGGGGGCCCTGCTGGGGCCAGGTGCTGTCTGTGCGCGACCCGAACCCTAAGACCCGACGTTGCGAAAAGATAGCAACATCACATCCTTAGACAATCGCGACCTGCGCCCCACACCCCCAACTTTCTGCATTGTTTTTCTCTCGGGGGTGGCCAAGAGAGGAGGGCGTCCAAGGGAGGGGGGGGGGCGCAACTCATGGCCAGCGGAATGTGCGCGGCGCAGGGGCGGGGCCAGGGACGCAATGAAACGAGAAGAGGCGCCACGGAATCTGGGGAGACATCACGGCCCCCGCCATGATGCCCCCCCATACCATCACCCCCCTCCTGGCCGCCCCCGACTCTCGAGCCACATCGATCCGTGATGGCCCCGGGGCCCGGGGACAGGGCCACGCCGCCCGGCGCGAGAAAGAACGTTGCAACGCCTCGGAGGCGACCCGTCCACGGGCGGGACCGGCCCCCGGGGCGGTGTGGCACGCAGCGGCGCAGGGAGCGGCGCGGCGCCACCGAGCTGGCACAGGGAGGGGCCCCTGCCCTGAAGTGGCCGTCTGGCACAGGGAGGGGCCGTCTGAAGTGTTGGCCAGTCAAGAGGGCCAGGGAGCGCGGCATCGGCACGAGGGCCTTCGAGGAGGCAGGGCGAGGAGCTGAGAGGCCCCCCGAGGGGGCGACATCCCGCCAGGCTCATCGGACACGGCACAGCACCCATAAGAGATACAAAAAACACAACTCGCAGAGGGCAGATCCCGACCACGGCCGTGGGGTCTGCGCCACCCAACCCCTCGCGGCGTGGCAGGAGTCACGGCGGATCGTTTTCGTCGGTGATCGGAGAGGCCCTCTCGCCTCGGGGTCCCCCAAAGGGCTTGACGACTTGTGGGGAGCGAGCCGGATAAAATCTAGGCAAATACACATGAATCGAGGCAGTGTCCAAGTGAATCCCAAGTGAATCCGAACTCCTGGCCGCTCCAGCGCGAGTCGAGGGACGGCAGATCTCGTTCAGCCCTGAACGGCAGGATGCCTTCCAGCACTTGCGCTGCGCCTCGTCGAAGGCGCTCCAGGGGCGTCCGGGTCGTCCCGATCGCCGCTGGAGCCCCAGGTTATGTGGGGAAACCACAAGGTACCAATTCCGCCACTCCCCGGACCTCTCGCGGCGTGCGTTCTGACTAGAATTGCGAGGCGAATCCATCGGTGGCGACGAAGGCCTCCCAGGAGGCCCAAAAAGAGGAGAACGGGCGCAGGGTAGCGGTATGGATGCCCCTTCCGCCTCTGGGTATGGGCCGAACGACACGCATCCTCGCGGCGTGCCAGACGGGGCTACGAGATCTGCCTCGCGCAGCTGGCCTCAGCCCCGCCTACACGCGCTCTCCTCTGTACACTGTCGCTTCCGGCGCTGGATGGCGCTTGGGGCACCAGCTGCGAGGTCTGCTCCGCTAGCCTTAGGTCGGGCCTGTCCCTCTACAGGGGGATTTGGGACGAAAAATTGAAAATACCCCCCAAATGCTCCAACAATACCAAAAAACAATCAAAAAATAGTCCCCTGACTATTTTCTACTATTTTTGAAGATTCCCCCTGTAGAGGGACAGGCCCGACTTAACGCTAGCCCCCCCCCCCTCTTTGCTATGAAAGCCCCCCTGGAAGGGCCCGGGGCCTCTGGGGAGCGCGGAGGGAGCAAACAGCGGACGTCCTGGGAGCGTCGGGGGCGGCGCAGGAGCGCCCACGGCCCTCGGCGCCTCTGCCTCCCCACTCTCGTGGGCGCCTTTCTTCATTCGGCGTCTCGACCTCGGGCGGCAGGGGGAGGGGGGGGGTCTGGCTCCGGACCTCTGCTTCGTGCGACTGTTGGCGGCAGTGCGTCCATGATGGGGGAGGGACCCCGCCTGCTCGAGACAGGCGCCCCCAAGAAAAACAGCCAAGATCTACTCCATGGAGGGGGGGGGAAAGGGGGGTGGTTGGGGGTCCCGCGCCGATCGGCAAAACAGCGAATCAAAAGAACGGCTCACCTTCACGCTCGCGGGCTGCCCTGTCCGAGCGCGCCCCTCTTTCAGGGGCAGCGTGTCAGGGGGCGAGGGGCTCCGCGGGGGGAGGGATGCAGCGGCCCACGATAGGGACCCGAGGGCTTACCCCGCGCGGGATCTCGGGGGCTTTCTATCGGGGGCCTGAGCAGAAAATCCACTCGGATAACACACCCACAAAAGGAATCAAACAGGGCAGGGCTGTTCAGTAAACACCCAGGGCCGTTCAGTAAACGCCAATTGTCTGGTCTGGGTGGTTTTTCCTTCCTTGACTATCGCCGATCGATCGGTGAGGCATCGCCGATGCCGATCTTGCCCCCCCCTGAGCCAGACCTCCCCTCTCCTTCCCTCTCCACCACCCCAGGTGAGCGTCTTTTATACGGCGTTTCGACATTGGCCGGCGAAGGGGAGGGGAGGGGGAGTGGGGTCTGGCTCCGGACCTCTGCTGAGTGCGACTGTTTGCAGCCGTGCGTCCAGTATGGGGGAGGCTCCACCTGCTCGAAACGGGCGCCAAAAACAGCCAAGATCTACTCCATGGGGGGGCTGTGCGAGGGCCCGCGCCGAACGGCAAAACAACGAATAAAACAACGACCACTATCGGGGGCCTATCGCCGATCGATCGGTGAGGCATCGCCGATGTCGATCTTGGCCACCGGAGCCAGACCTCCCCTCTCCTTCCCCCCTCCACCACCCCAGACATCCTCCGACGAATGTGCTTTCCAATCCGCGGCCCCAGCGACCCCAAGCCCGGCAACGGCTCCCGAGGGCCGAAATCAACGCCGGCTGAACAATCGGATCGTCGGAGATGCGGGCACCCCGCGCTGGAGGACGTCGCGCCCTGAGCGCTCTTCGCATCCGCGAGCGGCCTTGTATGGGAGCCTCGCCTGTCCTCGCAACTCCGTCCTTAGAGTGCGTTGGCGTGTGAGAGCTTCTGGTAAACGATGAGAGCGCGCAGATTTAGCCTTGATTGGGCGTCGATCTGCGTCGACTCGCTTCGGTTAGCGTCGAGAACATTTAATAGCATGTCCTCGAAGTGGGCATCTGGGCCAATCCGCAGGAGCTCCACCAACAAAATTGAATAAACATGCGAATTGTCAAATGGCATGCCGTGTACTGCAGTCGGAGTCGACCACTCCGAACGAAGCCAGGCCGCCATAGGGAGAGGAGGAGGAGGAGGAGGAGGAGGAGGAGGAGGAGGAGGAGGAGGAGGAGGAACGAGGCGGAGGGGCGGGGAAGGATCGAGCGTGCCCTCGATGATCAGACGTGCTGAGGGGGTGAGGGGGTGAGGGGTGGGGTGTGAGGGTGTTTCGGCTCCCCGACCCCACCCACCCTCGGCTCCCCGACCCCACCCACCCTCTCATTGCTCGCTCTCCCTCCATCCCACCCTCCATCTCCCCGCCTCCGGCGCTGAGCCCAATTCCCACCATCTCCTTCTAGGCTGAGCGGCAGGGCCAGGGGACATGAGAAGGGGAGTGAGAAGGGCGCAAAGAGGAGAACAACCGCCGCACGGGCATGAATCCAACAAGCAGAAGAGCAATCCACGAGCACCAACCTTATGCTCATTATGTCGGGACCCTCGGCGTCACTGCGACCAGCACGATACGGAGCAGCCAGCAGAATATGCTTACAAAGAGTGAGAAGAGAAGTCCTGCTAGCATCAAGGCGCCCAATGGCATGATGATGCGAGCCCAGATCATGCCTTGTGGGTCCAACACGCTATGTTCTCCTCCCGCTTCGCTTGTTTTCCATACTCTCGTGAACATGCGTTTGATGATGCTCTATTCGGATATCCTCCTGCTGGGGCGCGAGAGATGCACTTGGAATGTTCCTGCCCACGTGGCCACAACATCTTCAGGACAGGTCACGCGTTGGAATGTGACGCAAGGAGGTAGGAAATAACACGATCAGCTTGACTCCCGAAGCGGCCTCGATACATATAATAGCGAACGCATGCGAGCAGCAACATGCTGAGTAACACAACGCAAGCACCAGAAACTTCTAACGCTACTAAGAGTGTGAGGAGACAATGACCGCACGACGCGCAAGGGCACGCGTCGGTTACGCAGACCATGTGTTGATTCGATGAACAAGGTGAGTTGTTCCACACTGTGGCAAACGATGATGACCTCCAACGCACACAGGTAAACGTGACGAATACGACCGGCGCATCTGGCACATAGAACGAACACTAGGGCACGTCACACAATATCCGCGAGCTGACATCGCGCACCCAAGATTGAGCACCAGTGCTGCGCCTGGCACCACTGTTTACCAAATATGGTCACAATCTGCTGAAATCGCCAAGTCCAGCAAAACACCATGTCATTGCACTGGATCCGGCAATCTCAGTCTAGGGGCATCACGTTGCACACTGGTTTGCGAGTGTGCCTTTAGAGGAACCCCCAGAATCCTGCCAGCCCTCTGAGCGTGAGTGGTGTACAGAGTTTCTTGTTCCAACCTCCCTTCTTCCCTTTCGGGGAGGGGTTTATCATTGTTCCCTTTTAATATACCTCCCCCAGGCGACTGGCAGCCAACCAGGAACAACGAGGACCCCATGAGCCCCCCCCCCCACCATCCCTGTTAACAAACAATGCAAAGTACACTTTGGGGCAAGAAGTGTGGAGTCATGTTCGTGAGGCCCGCGAGCGCGTTGTATTGTTGTGTTCACAGGGACGGCGGGGGTATCAGCAGATTGCCTGCTGCGCTACCATTCATGGCAAACAAATATCCAACATGCACATCGCGGCTGAATCTGGATCATGCGCGGCCACCCCGCGATCACTGTCAAGTAATGGCGTATGGCCTGCTGTGCGCAGGCCCACCAGACACAATGATGGGCATTGGTTTTCGACATGGATGGTGGGGGCAGGCATGTTTCCCGATGTGTGCTGTCACGTGGGCAGGCGCACCTGACACACTCTGCACGTGCCCCGAACGTGGCGCACCTGGCGCGGCTGGAGTATGCGGCACACCTGGCGCACGCGGAGGCACGTGGCGCATCTGTCGCACCAGGCGTGCCTGGCACGCTCGGGCCCCAGGGTTGCCTGGCGAGCGTGGTGCGCCTGGCACGCGTGGCGCACCTCGACCCAGCGTCGCGCACATGGGCTCGATTTGGTTCCCAGTAGCTACCCATCCAAAGACGGCCACTGAACATGCTGAGGCTCGGTGTTACTTCTGTGTTGTGAGGGCGGGTGCGAGTGAGCTAGACGGCTTGCTATCTAGGAGGGAGTCTTGACCCCTCCCCCTACCCACTCCCCCTGGGTCTGGAGGGTGGGGTTCGAGGTGTTGGCCACATGTTGGCCTCCTGGGGGGGGGCCTAAGTAAGGATCCCCCCCCTCCTTTGATCGACGTCTCCCAAGATGGCCAAGACGACCCCAAGATGTGCCCAGGAGGCCCAAAGAGGCATCCAAGAGGCTCCCCCCAAGAGGCTCCCAGGAGATCCCTAAGATGCCCCAAGGGGCCCCCCAGGGGCACCAAAGACGACCCAAGAGACCTCCAGGACTGCCAGTAGACACCAACAACGCCCCACGAGAACTCCAAGAAACTTTCGAACGAAATCCAGAAAGACTCAGAGGCCTTTCTGCTCGCCCTCCTCCTTCTTCTCCTCCTCCTCCTCCTTCTCCTCCTCCTCCTCCTCATCTTCCTCCTCCGCCTCTTCCTCATGCGCCTGATCCTCGTCCTTCCTCGTCTCCCTCCTCTCCCTCCTCCTCCTCCTCATCCTCCTCCTCCTCCTCATCATCATCATCCTCCTCCCTCTCCTCCTCTCTCTCCTCCTCCCTCTCCTCCTCCTCCTCCTGCTCCTCCTCCTACTCCTTCTCCTCCTCTTGCTCCTCTTCCGAATTCTCCTCCATCCTCCCCCTCTTTGGTTACAACGTCTTAGCCACCCCCTTATTCCACTACGTTATACTCCACATCCCTGATCGGGGCAACTCGTCTGGGCATCGTTTCTGGATGGACTGGTGGGTTTACGCGAAGCGTCTACAACTTACATGTTTACATGCGACGGATGATGTCGATCTGCAACATGACAAAGACATCCGGGTGCCGTACCCATGTACACATGAACGTTTGCCTCATGGAACAACTCATCTCGGACGGCAACGCTCCCGGACCACTCTCCGCGCTCCTCGGACCTCTTCATCCTCCTCCTCCTCCTCCTCCGCCTCAGCCCCGCCGCCTCGCTTCCCGCGCCTCGCTATTCCTCGTTCTCCTCCTCCTCCTCCTCCTCCTCCTCTTCCTCCTTCTCCCTCTCCTCCTCCGCCTCCCACCTCCACCTACCTCCTCATCCACCTTCTCCTATTCGTTTCCCCCTCCTCATCTCCGTGTACTCTTTGCCGCCTCTTCCCAAATCCTCCCCCCCCTCCCACCAATCCCACTCCAACCCTCAAATTCTCCTCCTCTTGCCTTGAAATGGAAGAAAAGTTCTGGGTTGGTTGGGATGGGAATAATCAGCCCTCCTTGCCCCCTGTCCCAAACCTCTGTCCCTTCTCCTCCCGGACGTCCTGGCGCTGGTACGGGTCGAAGTCGGACCGCTTGCTCGAGAAGTTGCCCAAGCTGGGGTTCGAGCGAGAGGCCCAATCCTGGCGATTTGGTTGGAGAGGGGAAGGAGGATGCGAAAGGAGAGGGCGCAATGAACATGTTCTCGATCCCATCGTCACCCTGCGCAGCGCGGGAGCCTAGCGAATTTCTTCTCACGCGCAACCCTGCTGCATAAAAACGTCGGGCTCTTATGGTTGTGCGATATCGTCCCCTAGAAAAAAAAACATGACTGCCCAGATGGACGTCCATGAGCAGCTCTCTATCGCAAAATTCGCAAGTATGAAATCTGTCTACCTCGCAGAGCGGGGGGTGGCTGAGAAGGGGCAGGCCAATCCTTGCCAGCCACCTTGCCCCGAGTTGTGGCCAACACGATCGCCGCGGCGACCTCCAGAACTGACCCCGAGGCTTGGTTCGGACCGGATATCACGCAACGACCTGGCTCTGGCTGGAGAATCAAGCATGCCAAGAAGATTGCTTCATATGCCTCCACGGCAGCCCAAGATGGCCCGCGGCGGCCCAAGATGGCCTGAAGATGGCCCAAGAGGCACCGAAGACAGCCCAGGAGGGCCACAAGCACCAGTAGGGCCCGAAGAAACAAAAGTATAGATTTCCTCTCTCTGTGTGTGTGTGTGTTTATGTGTGTGTGTGTGACAGGCTTGGGCTCCTTCGCGTTTTTGGCTTCATTCAAACCAACGCCCTGTAAGATGGCCACCCGGCGGCCTAAGAGGGCCGAGAAATGAACCAATAGTCCTCCGAGACGGCCTCAAAACGGTTCAAGAGGGCCCCTGCACGGCCCAGGACGGCCCCAAGAGAGCCCCAGAAATCCTTCGGAGGGACCCAAGACAGCCTGAGGGAGCCCCATCGACGGCCGCAGGCGGTGCCAAGTCAGCCTCACAACTTCCCAAAGAGATCCCCCAAGCGGCCAAGAGTGCCCAAGACGTTCCCAGAGAGCCCCTAAGACGGCCCAAGATGGCTCAAAGCGGCCTAAAGGGCCTCTGAAACTGCCCCTACACGAGCCCAAGAGAAGACGGAAGAAAGGGAGGACGAAGAAAACGAGAAGAGAACCCCGGACATGACCCGGAAGAAAGTGTGTCGCATGTCACGGCTTCCGCAAGCCACGAGACACGAGGTGTCCCGTGCGCCCCCCCGAACAGCTGCCAGTCAATGCATCGGGCTGGAACGGTGGCGGGTACTGCCGCGGGCAGCTGGATAATCGTGCACAGTTGCCGCTGCCTTGCTGGAGCAGATGTGTGTGTGGGCGGGGGTTGCAGACGCATGCCTCCACGATACGGACCCACATGCACGCTTTGGCCAAGGCCATGCCTGGCTTATGGAAGGCACGTGCCCTCCGACCAGCACTGCGCGGAGACGTGCAGGCTCTCCCCCCCTGGGAGCGCCCCCCTTCACGTTGCCCCGTCTGCTTCTCCACTCGCCCTGTGTGCTTCGCAGCTGCTAAAAATGCCTGGTGCCGCCTTTGCACCGTCGTTCCTACTTCTTCGGGAGCGCCATCTGGCTAGGCTCACGCAAGAGAGCTGGCATGGAACCATGGATGCCGACGAGGGCAGTGCACCAAGAGGAGTTCCTGGATGTCTTCAAGGCAGCCGAAAGCATCCCCAGGCCCACAAGTTGGAAAAAAAACGCCGATGACCTCGATCATTGATCCTCCTCATTCCCGAGCAGGTGAGGAGAGAGGAATCGACAGGCGAGGTGCGCTCGCGCCACATCAGACATCCGATCCCTCCCTGCCATCCCTTCCCATTGCGCTGATGCGCGCTCTCTCTCTCTCTCTCTCTCTCTATATATATATATAATGTATATATCCGCGGACGCGTGTCAAAGCCGACCTGGAACTCCGATAGAACGACCCCGTCGTGCTGTGCACAATCGTAAGAGGGGAGCTGCGCACATAGGAGGAGGAGGAGGAGGAGGAGGAGGAAACGAATAGGGGGAGGAGGAGAAGGAGGAGGAGGAGGAGGCAGAGGCAGAGGGGAGGAGGAGGAGGAGGGAGGAGGAGGGAGGGAGGGAGGAGGAGAAGGAGGAGGAATAGCGAGGCGCGGGAAGCGACGCGCGGGGGCTGGGGCGGAGGAGGAGAAGGGGGGCAGGGAGGCGGGAAGAGATCCGAGGAACAGGAGGAAACCTAAAAGGATGAGGGAGAAGGAGAAGGAGGAGGAGAACCAGGACGACCATGTGTTGAAGAGGAGGAGGAGGAGGGGGGGGTGAAGGGCCGGCGAGCCCGAGCGAGAGCAGCGGGGTGGGGAGGGCGCTCCCTCGCGAGCTGCTGCGACGCCAGCTCCCCCTCGCGCTGCATGCTCTGGATGTCCTCGGGCGAAAGTGGGGCCTCCACATCGTCCCTCCTCCTCCTGCACCTCCTCTCCATCCTTCTCCTGCCTCCTCCTCCTCCTGCTCCTCCTCCTCCTCCACCTACCTCCTCCTCCTCCTCCTCCTCGCCCCCTCCTCCTCCGCCTCCCACCTCCACCTGCCTCCTCCCTCCTCCTCCTCCCTCCTCCTCCTGCTACTCCTCCTCCTCCTCCTCCTCCTCCTCCTCCTCCTCGTGCACCTCCTCCTCCTCCTCCTCCTCCACCTCCTCCACCTCCTCCTCTTTCTCCTCCTCCTCCTCATCCTCCTGCTCCTCTTCCTCCTCCATTCCTTTTCCTTACAAGCAACTTCTCGCTGTCGCACCCCGAGGCCAGTTTTTAGGGCGGGCCAGGCGTGTCGCCTGATACTTCCTCACCATTTATGACCATGAAGCTTAAACACAGGCAACAGTTTTACAGATGAAGGGCAGGTCGTTTTCAAAATGTGGCTCTCGCCTTAGCGCCGCACGCATTCGTTTTGAACATTTGCAGGAGTCACGGTTCCCCATGATCAGCGTACCAGAAATAATGCTTTGAAAGGATATTATGAGGGTGCAACAGTTACGTTGGCTCCCGGTGCTTAGGTCCCAGCAATGGCGTTCTGGCCCCATTCAGGATCATCAAGACGCAACAGTCAGGTTGATCCGTGGCGTTGGAATCCCGAGAACAATGCTTTGGCATGCTTCAGGATCTTCAAACAATTACCTTCCAACGAGGCAGTTCCCTCCGTGGAGAAAAAACCTTGTAGGGGCCTATGAAGACGGAGCTTGGAGGGAGGGCTTATTCCAGCATCGTTGGTGACTCTTGGTTTTACACTGGTCCTCCCCCTCCTCCTCCTCCGCCTCCTTCGTCGCCTCCCACCTCCACCTACCGCCGCCTCCCACCTCCACCTACCTCCGCCTCCTCCTCTACCTACCTCCGCCTCCTCCTCCTCCTCTTCCTCCTCCTCCTCCTCCTCCTCCTCATCATCATCATCATCACCATCACCATCATCATCATCATCATCATCATCATCATCATCATCATCATCATCATCATCATCATCATCATCATCATCAGCATCAGCATCAGCATCATCATCATCATCGTCATCATCATCATCAGCATCATCATCATCATCATCGTCCTCATCCTCTTCCGCTCCCTCATCTTCCTTCTCATCACCTTCCTCTTGCTTCTCCCCGATCCTTCCTATCCACCCTGCTTCACGTTTCCCATCCCTCCCAGTTAGCCTCCATACTCGTCATCATGAGTCATGGTCCTCCTTCTCCCCTCCATCCCCCAAACTCATAACGCGCAAGTTCGGTGGCTGCCTCTTTCTCACCCAGATGCGATTGTCAATAGACTGAGATCAACGACCCGATGTGAACGCATGGCACCATGCACAAGAACAAGTCGACTTATTCTTTGGGTTGGCGGAAGATGTGGCAGCCATCCGCAGCTTGACCTACCGCCGACGACCGGAACCTCTTCAACAGATGCCCCTGAACTAACCAGCTTCTCGATCCGCGCCCAGTCCCCACCGGGCGACCGAAGAAACTGAAAATGAGCCCGCAGGTCTCAGGGGGTCCGACCGCCTTGCGCCACTGGCTCGCCCCAAACCTCGACCCTGCCTCCCACGCACAGTTCCGAGGGCGAAGCGGGTGCCTGGGTAAACCTGGAATGCGTCAGCCGGCGCCGTGGGCCAATATCATTACGCCTACTGGCTCGTCCCAGTGTTTGTGTGTACGGCCCGCACACAGTGACGGGAGCCCGAGGTATGCTCGGAGGCATTTGGAAGGCAGCAGCCAGAGCGCCTCGCTCGGCTCCAAGGCCACGCTAACGGCAATGTTGGTGAACGGCGACGTTGGGAATCTGGTTTCTGCGGCGCCCGACGTCGCGCAGAACGAATTGTAGGAAATCGCGACACACGCTCCTAAATTTCAAACACGCGAATGCATCGAGCGACAACGGCACGGCGACTGTGGGAAACCACGAACCACGCTGTCCTACAATCGGGTCGGCCACGAACCACCCCCACCTACAGTGCCGAAGCCTACATCGCCGTTGTCTAAATCGCCGTAAGCGTGTCTACGGCGATTACGCGCAAGAGTGGCCACGGCCTTTGGTGCGCGACTGAAGGGGGACGCGAGGGGCCAAACCCGTGCGCGTCAGCTGCTGCCATGCATCGCATCGCATCCGGCGAAAGGTCACCAGTCGTCTCGCGCCATCCTCGCAGGCTGAATCAGGCGAGTGAGCAGTTGATGCCTGAACCCTGCCAGAACAAATGCAACACCAGGTGGGTGTGCCGTCCGCAGCCGGCAACGTCGGCCGAGGCCCCGGATGGGCTCGGCCTGCGCTCCAGAGGCGCCCGTGCCACTGGCGACGAAGCCCCAAAGGCCTCGCCTCACAATGCTGCTGCAGAGGTCGGAGCTGACGGCAGCCTGCCCGTGCCCGGCAGATGCAGCGCCCGAGTCGCCAGATCACCCGAGGCAACCACTACGAGACCTCCACGAGCCATGGCTCCCTCGCCTGGCCCCCGGTCCCCCCGCCCACCCCCCCCCCCGCTTCCCTCACGGCGCCCCTGGGGAACCCAAAGGTTACCGGTACCGCTACTCCCTGGACCTCTCCCGGGGTGCGGCCTGGCCAGAGTTTCGAGGCGAATGCAGCGGTGGCGACGAGGGCCTCCCAGGAGGCCCCAAGAAGGGGAAAACGAGTCAGTAGTAGCGGTATGGGTCTCTTTTCCTACTCTGAGTTCCGCTCCGTGTCAGCCTCCGCAGCCCCGCCTGCCAAGGGACTGGCGGCAGAGTTTCCCTGCTGCTCGGCCCCCCTGGGCTCGGGCTGCGAGCCGAGGGCGGCAGCGCCGGTCGAGGACTCGGCTCGGGTCGAGGCCAGCTGTGCGATCGAATCTCGCTACGGTCAACCTGTACAGTAAGGATGCGCAATAACGAGGCGAGGGCCTTGGACGCCCATTTCGAAGCTTTTCGAGCGGGGCGCGACCAGCGAAAGTGGCCAGGGATGGACCGAGGAGGCACGGATGTAAGGGTACCCGTGGGAAGGTTGCCTATCCTTGCTATGCGGGTTGACTGTATCCGCATGTGCTCGTTGCCGAGGCTGGATGCGCCGCGCCATTGCAGCTCCTGCGACACATGATCTCATGAGCGACAGCAGGCGATCGAATAATGGGAACGGTTGGTGGCGCACAGGGCTGCTCTTGGGGCAGAGTGCTACACGGAGCAGCGCCAGCTGTCTCGGAGCAAGAGGGACCTCTGGGGCCAGCCAACCAACCACGACGGACCCAAAAGATCTACACACTGCCCTGTAGCCAACGGTCTGCCGCATGAGGCCGCCAACTGCAGAATCTTGCGTTATTTCCCGCTGCGTTTTTTTTTCTCGGCAACGATGAACCCACGGACCGACGCCGACTATTGGATAGAGACTGGGGAGTCGGCAGGCTGTCCTGCCGCAGGACCGTCCTCGCCCTTTCCTCCTGGGTGAAAAGAAGCCACTGGCACAAACGGAGCCAACACAGCAAGCAAGCGGCCGCCGCTGCTTAGGAGAACGCACGCGCAACAAAATGTGGTTATTTTCCCGCCGGCAGGGGGGGCAGAGAAGCGGGGAGAGCGAGGACGAGGAGGAGACGAGGGGGCGAGGGCGTTGTGCGGACATCCCCAGCGGCCCGAACGGCCACGTATAAAATTCAAAAGCGCACAACGTCATTCTGGAGGAAATGCGGGAGGGGGAAGAGGGGGGAACGACGACAAGAAAGAGAGGAGGACAAACGGACAGAACGAGTGCCCACACGTCCAGTGTGGAAGTCGCAAGGCGGCAGCCGCCAGCGAGCCAGTGCCAGAACAGCGCGGCACGATCGAAGTTGAAAGCAAGTATAAAAGGATGCTGCGCTCCGCAGCCGATCGCATGAGCTAGAACTCGCACCCACCTGCAAGCCTAGCTCCGAGAAAACCGCCCGCCGACCCCCGAGGCCGGCCCAGGAAGTCCCCGGGAGGGCCCCAAAAGGGCGCCAAAAGGAACCCAGAGAGGCCAAAAAAAAACAACACACAGCCCACACAACAACCTCCCCAACAAGGAGAAAGACGGTGCAAAATGCGTGCTGATTTGTTTAGCCACCCCGGGTGCCAGCTGGAGCCCGGTGGAGGCCCTCAGGGGGCCACCTGGGGGCACGGAGGAGGAGGAGGAGAAGGAGGAGGAGGAGGAGAGAGAACAAAGAGAGTGTAGGCAATAGGCTACCTCGCCCCTTCGCGGAGAAACCTATTGTACGCCCCCGAGAACTCGGAGGGGGAAAACTGATGATGCCAGATGCCGCTATGGAGCCTGAAGAGGGCGTAGAGAGAGAGCGCGCTGCAGGAGGAGGGCATCTCCTCCCATCGCTTGCGAGCCGCTGCTCGGAGGCATGCAGAAGAAGTAATCCAGGGCCCACTCCGGAGCCGGAGTTGGCCCACCGAATTGGGATGCAGTCAGCCTTCGAATTGTCGGGCAGCGTGCAAAATGTGCTAGGCTGTCGTCGCCGACGCCGCAGGCAAATGAGCAGGGACCGCGACTCTGAAACCGACGCCGCGTGCACCACCCGTCGCACAGGGTGCGCAAATAGGCGGCTTGGACTCGGGGCGCCGCGCTCCGCCCCAGAACTCGAAAAGTTATCAGCGCGCGCTCCACGCGACGGCCTGGGAAGGTCCGTAGCGGCCACCTTTCGAGCCGACGGCGAAGGTGGACATAGGCAGCTCTGGGCGGGGTCGCTCTGAAGAGACTCGTCACCCTGCCCTGCCAGCCGCGCCGTACGCTCAAGTCTAGGCCACCCCCTGCGGGGAGGAGAGCAACTCGTCGCTGGAAACCGCTGTCGGCGGCGGCTAGCTTGAACAAGAAACAGTTTTGGGCCCATGACTGCCACCATCCAGCATGAGCTAAGGAACAGGCAGGACTGGCCAGAAGATCCCGCAAGCGCGATGCACGTTCCTGCACGCGTAGGCCG